GGAGGTGAGTCTGCTTCACTAGTGACCTGACTGGAGGGGGGTGAGTCTGCTTCACTAGTGACCTGACTGGAGGGAGGTGAGTCTGCTTCACTAGTGACCTGACTGGAGGGGGGTGAGTCTGCTCCACTAGTGACTTGACTTTGGGGGGGATGAGTCTGCTTCACTAGTGACCTGACTGGAGGGGGGGGGTGAGTCTGCTTCAATAGTGACCTGACTGGAGGGAGCTGAGTCTGCTTCACTAGTGACCTGACTGGAGGGGTGGGGGTGAGTCTGCTTCACTAGTGACTTGACTGGAGGGGGGGGGGGTGAGTCTGCTTCACTAGTGACTTGACTGGAGGGGGGTGAGTCTGCTTCACTAGTTACCTGACTGGAGGGGTGGGGGGTGAGTCTGCTTCACTAGTGACTTGACTGGAGGGGGGGGGTGAGTCTGCTTCACTAGTTACCTGACTGGGGGGGGGGTGAGTCTGCTCCACTAGTGACCTGACTGTAGGGGGGTGAGTCTGCTTCACTAGTGACTTGACTGGGGGGGGGTGAGTCTGCTTCACTAGTGACTGACTGGAGGGGGGGTGAGTCTGCTCCACTAGTGACTTGACTGGAGGGGGGGGGGTGAGTCTGCTTCACTAGTTACCTGACTGGGGGGGGGTGAGTCTGCTCCACTAGTGACCTGACTGTAGTGGGGTGAGTCTGCTTCACTAGTGACTTGACTGGAGGGGGGTGAGTCTGCTTCACTAGTGACTTGACTGGAGGGGGGTGAGTCTGCTCCACTAGTGACCTGACTGGAGGGGGGGGGGGTGAGTCTGCTTCACTAGAGACCTGACTGGAGGGGGGGTGGGTGAGTCTGCTTCACTAGTGACCTGACTGGAGGAGGGGGGTGAGTCTGCTTCACTAGTGACCTGACTGGAGGGGGGGGGGGTGAGTCTGCTTCACTAGAGATCTGACTGGAGGGGGGGGGGGGTGTGAGTCTGCTTCATTAGTGACCTGACTGGAGGAGGGGGGTGAGTCTGCTTCACTAGTGACCTGACTGGAGGGGGGGGGGGTGAGTCTGCTTCATTAGTGACCTGACTGGAGGAGAGGGGTGAGTCTGCTTCACTAGTGACCTGACTGTAGGGAGGTGAGTCTGCTTCACTAGTGATCTGACTGGAGGGGGGGGGGTGAGTCTGCTTCACTAGTGACCTGACTGGAGAGGGGGGGTGAGTCTGCTTCACTAGTGACCTGACTGGAGGGAGGTGAGTCTGCTTCACTAGTGACCTGACTGTAGGGAGGTGAGTCTGCTTCACTAGTGACCTGACTGGAGGGAGGTGAGTCTGCTTCACTAGAGACCTGACTTTGGGGGGGGGATGAGTCTGCTTCACTAGTGACCTGACTGGAGGAGGGAGGTGAGTCTGCTTCACTAGTGACCTGACTGGAGGGGGGGGTGAGTCTGCTTCAATAGTGACCTGACTGGAGGGAGCTGAGTCTGCTTCACTAGTGACCTGACTGGAGGGGTGGGGGGTGAGTCTGCTTCACTAGTGACTTGACTGGAGGGGGGGGGTGAGTCTGCTTCACTAGTGACTTGACTGGAGGGGGGTGAGTCTGCTTCACTAGTTACCTGACTGGAGGGGGGTGAGTCTGCTTCACTAGTGACTTGACTGGAGAAGGGGGGGTGAGTCTGCTTCACTAGTGACCTGACTGGGGGGGGTGAGTCTGCTCCACTAGTGACCTGACTGTAGGGGGGTGAGTCTGCTTCACTAGTGACTTGACTGGAGGGGGGTGAGTCTGCTTCACTAGTGACTTGACTGGAGGGGGGTGAGTCTGCTCCACTAGTGACTTGACTGGAGGGGGGGGGGGGGTGAGTCTGCTTCACTAGTTACCTGACTGGGGGGGGTGAGTCTGCTCCACTAGTGACCTGACTGTAGGGGGGTGAGTCTGCTTCACTAGTGACTTGACTGGAGGGGGGTGAGTCTGCTTCACTAGTGACTTGACTGGAGGGGGGTGAGTCTGCTCCACTAGTGACTTGACTGGAGGGGGGGGGGTGAGTCTGCTTCACTAGTTACCTGACTGGGGGGGGTGAGTCTGCTCCACTAGTGACCTGACTGTAGGGGGGTGAGTCTGCTTCACTAGTGACTTGACTGGAGGGGGGTGAGTCTGCTTCACTAGTGACTTGACAGAAGGGGGGTGAGTCTGCTTCACTAGTGACCTGACTGGAGGGGGGTGAGTCTGCTTCACTAGTGACCTGACTGGAGGGGGGTGAGTCTGCTCCACTAGTGACTTGACTGGGGGGGGGGGGTGAGTCTGCTTCACTAGTTACCTGACTGGGGGGGGGGGTGAGTCTGCTCCACTAGTGACCTGACTTTGGGGGGGGGGGTGAGTCTGCTCTACTAGTGACCTGACTGGAGGGGAGGGGGGTGAGTCTGCTTCACTAGTGACCTGACTGGAGGGGTGGGGGGTGAGTCTGCTCCACTAGTGACCTGACTGGAGGGGGGGGGGTGAGTCTGCTCCACTAGAGACCTGACTTTGGGGGGGGATGAGTCTGCTTCACTAGTGACCTGACTGGAGGGGTGGGGGTGAGTCTGCTTCACTAGTGACCTGACTGGAGAGGGGGGATGAGTCTGCTTCACTAGTGACCTGACTGGAGGGGTGGGGGGTGAGTCTGCTTCACTAGTGACCTCGCAAGTCACGTCGCTCTGTCTAAGTACTCATTCTCTTCGTACACATATGGGACTAATAGAACAAGAACCCGGCAATGTGATGTTATAGTGGCCAGAATACGCCTGGGATATAGACGTATCTGGCAGCTTTCTCAAAACCCAAATGTCGAGTACACAATGTGTCAACTTTGTGAAAGAGAAAACATGCACTCTCTTGGACATTATATTGTAGAATGTCCCATATTGACTGACTTTCGCCCTCCTGGGCAAAGGTATCCTGAACTCTGTAGTTACTATATGAGTACTGGAACACTTGATGATATATTGGACTTGTATCCAAGATTGACCATGTAATGTATCAATTATATAATGCATGTATGTGATGTAACTATATAACCTGAGCTTGTAAAAGCACCTTCACCACCTTCAGTGCTTAATTGCACACTAGTTTCTCTATCAGCTATCTCACCCTGTCAGAGTAAAAGAGACAAATGTATGTGAATGCATGTGTGTGTGTATATATGTATGTATACATGTATGTATATATGTATGTGTACGTATATGTGTGTGTGTGTGTGTATGTAAATGTATGTGTATAAAGTATATATGGAACCTGATCAGAATTACATTTCACCTTTGTAAATGCACATTAATGACACTATGTAAAAGACACATCAAACACTTTATGTAGAGCATACGTAAATCTATGCATCTATGTATTTATGTATGTAGATTAGCTTAGCATTTTAAAAGCACCGAATCACCTTCTGTGATTAATTATTCAATAAACCCCTGAACTATATGTTTAACACTTCTCTAACCCTGTCCATGGACGACAGAATAAAATGTATATATGCTGATTAGCATTGTAAATGTCCGGCCACGTCTGTGGTAGAAAATAATAATAATAATAAAAACTCATTTCCTGGTTATCTTGAGGTTATCTTGAGATGATTTCGGGGCTTTTTAGTGTCCCCGCGGCCCGGTCCTCGACCAGGCCTCCACCCCCAGGAAGCAGCCCGTGACAGCTGACTAACTCCCAGGTACCAATTTACTGCTAGGTAACAGGGGCATTCAGGGTGAAAGAAACTTTGCCCATTTGTTTCTGCCTCGTGCGGGAATCGAACCCGAGCCACAGAAGTTTGAAGAAGTTTGGTTGATGACAAACATGACAATATACTTCTTCACTTCTTCTTTCTTAACACATTTAACCTAGAATTAAGGATCACCCAGAAAGTATTCCTATAAAGGGCGACCATCTGAGGGAACTCTACATTTAAAATTATTTGTGACAACATTTCTCTAGCTTTCAACAACATTAGTCTAGCATACGTCAGGCTGCGAGCAGCCGGGTCTAACAGCCTGGTTGATCAGTCCAGCAACCAGGAGGCCTGGTCGACGACCGGGCCGCGGGGACACTAAGCCCCGGAAGCACCTCAGGGTAGCTGCTAGTTCTGTGAGCGCGCACACGCGCGTCTATACTAGCCAATTTATTAAGACAACCTAACCATGAATAGTTCTGATGTTAATATGTCATGCCACGACGAATATCATGCCAGGACGAATATCATGCCAGGACGAATATCATGCCAGGACGAATATCATGCCAGGACGAATATCATGCCAGGACGAATATCATGTCAGGACGAATGTCATGTCAGGACGAATATCATGTCAGGACGAATATCATGTCAGGACGAATATCATGTCAGGACGAATATCATGTCAGGACGAATATCATGTCAGGACGAATATCATGTCAGGACGAATATCATGCCAGGACGAATATCATGCCACGACGAATGTCATTTCGGGACGAATGTCATGTCAGGACGAATATCATGCCAGGACGAATATCATGTCAGGACGAATATCATGTCAGGACGAATATCATGCCAGGACGAATATCATGCCAGGACGAATATCATGCCAGGACGAATATCATGCCAGGACGAATATCATGCCAGGACGAATATCATGTCAGGACGTGTATGGCATGACTGACACTCGGTCCCCCTGAACCCGTCACTTAAGAATATATCTTGAAGGAAAAAAAACAGCTAAAAATTATATTTCACGGCGACATTAGACGAGCCAAGAATTACTCGCGTAGATAACTCAAGACTTCCTTCCTCATTCTCAAGAAACTCAACACACTTCTTCGTGTCTGTCGGGAAAGATTAACTATGATGAACAAATACAGACAGACGCTGCAGATATACGTAGCCTCGTCACAGTGTATCAGAGGCGGTAGAAAGTTGTGGTGGTGAGGGCGGCGTGTGAGGGCTGGTGTCTATTTTGGTCCAGCGTGGAGAGAGTCGGCTGACTTTCCTTCCCGGGTGGTGGGAGAGTCAGTGTTCTACGGGACGCCTCAGGGAGGAGAGTGCTCGCTCCTCGTACCTATAGTGCCTCCCACACACACACACACACACACACACACGCTCACCCACGCACTCAACTGCGTGAAAGTGCTGCTGTCACTGTGAACTGTGTTGATGGGACTGTGTGTTGCCTCTTAGTGTGTACGTGGGTTTCGTAGTGGTTGTGGTAGAGGTGTTTTACCACAGCCCAGCGGGCTCCCCGCCGCTCTCAGACTGTTGTGACAGGATCGATGTCACTGTCATTCAGTTATCCCGACCAACACGAATCCTTCGTGTGAAACAGAAGCTTATCTTCCTTGTGTATATAAACTCCTACTATACGTTTGATGGATTACAAAGCACCTGTATCGATTCGGAATCCTCATTCACGGGTACAGGAGGCTTGTTATCGTCCCCCTAGATAAGATAAGATAAATACTGACAATCTCTAGCCTGCTGCCCCCCCCAATACAGTTGCATTAATTCACAAGACACAGAGAAATTCACAAAAGACTAGGTGAACAGAGGAACCAGATGAAAGGAAAAAAGTGTCCTGACACGGAATCCTAACCTGAAAATCATTTGGTTGTGAGCCGACAACGCCGACCACTGCGCTACAGGTAAACTGAATGCATGTTGGACTTAGTTTTATACTGTTCGTGACTCCATCATGCACATGTTAGTGGAGTTGAAGTTACTTTTGGTAAGCTTAAGCTGTATATTTATATACCAGGAGGAAAGTCAGGAGGGGGCCTGGTAGCCTGGTGGATAGCGCGCAGGACTCGTAATTCTGTGGCGCGGGTTCGATTCCCGCACGAGGCAGAAACAAATGGGCAAACTTTCTTTCACCCCTGAATGCCCCTGTTACCTAGCAGTAAATAGGTACCTGGAGTTAGTCAGCTGTCACGGGCTGCTTCCTGGGGGTGGAGGCCTGGTCGAGGACCGGGCCGCGGGGACACTAAAGCCCCGAAATCATCTCAAGATAACCTCAAGATAACCAGCAAGTTTTGATTATTGCCGCCGCAGGCGGCTAGTTTATTGTGCACCCCATACTCATCGTGTGAGCGGTAGCGCAAAAAGGATTAGAGAGGGCAGAAAAGGTCTTTATCAGACCTCAACGGAGATTATTACATAAGCAATTTCATCTATCCTTCACACCTTATAATTACAATGTCAGCTAGTTACAGAGAATGTTCTATTTCAAGAGCTATATATTTACAGTAAGTCATTATATATTAATGATAGGTCTTATCGCTAATACATAATTATTTGAGCAATAGAGATATTAGAGTCATAGGGGAGCTGCTGTTTATTATTATTAGTCTTCACAATACACTACTTGTTTCTTGTGGGAACCGACCTGTGAGATTTATATTTATTTAATTTATATGAATTTATATTTACGTTAATTTATATACTTCGATAGCAATTTGTATAATGATAAGTGGACTGTATTTCTGCAATAATCTCTTAATCTCACAAATCGATCCTCTACACATTAGGGGGGTTTATATTTATATATATGCAGCCAATCAAACTACAGTAACTACATACATTGAAGAGGTTCCTTATCTTATAGTACAGCAGGTTAGTCCACCAGGTATAACTAGAGTGTAGACACCAAATTATCCTCTTTGAGGTAGCTTCCATATCACCCAGTAACTGGTGCACAAATCTTGCTTCCTGGTCTTGACCTGTCAAAAGTGCGCTAGCTGTGAAGCCAGATACCTATATATGACAAGTATATCAGAGAAAACAGTACATGGAACATGAAGACCTGGTGTTTCTTAACCTCATATCTCGTTTATCTACTGGGCAGCGAAATATAGATACAGTGCAAGGATTTCAGGTACTTAATCCTTGATAATAAGATAGGTTGCCATATCATACAACGTGAGTTTAGATTTATCTCTAAATGGCTCAATTTTACTGCAATCCAAGATATAGTGTCCGAGTGTGTGTCCTTGTCTTTGTCCACACACTTTACACTTTTCTACATATAGATTCCAGTATTTTCTAATCCTGTACATAGTCCAGAACAAACGTAAACTCTCGGTTATGGTTTACATATCGGTGTAAACTCACCTAGTCAATTGCCCTTGTTGTTGTTTAAGTGTTTCGTCATTGTTTACAATGTTTGGTAATGTGTTTATTTGTGATGTGTGTCTATGTATATATTAACACGTTGTACTGAATGGGGTGAGAATAGCTTGAGCTACCTCATCCCTTTGTGTGTATTTTACCTCAATAAACTTATTTCAATTTCAATTTCAATTTCAATTTTGTTTACAAAACACTGTTTACACAGATTAAAATAAAAATATAAATTAAATTATATAACACAAATTATTAATTTTGGGATTAAAACAGCACCAAGATCAGAAATATGATTTGATAAGACACTTGATTGTCTGCCTAAAGTTAATCTTATCTTGTTTCTTTGTTTTCTGTCCAGCGACAAAGTTTACGTTTCCAGAAATATATATATATATATATATATATATATATATATATATATATATATATATATATATATATATATATATATATATATATATATATATATATATATATATATATATATATTATTAAATATGACCGAAAAAGTAAGATTAATAATTCTAACACGAATTTTCTCAATCTTTCGTACATTACGCTTCACTGTTGGAGGTAAATCAAAAATCACTTCTCCAAAATTCATTTTTATTTCTAGTCTGACGCGACGCTTGAACTCGTTTCGAAATAACGTATTACATTTTCAAAGACTTTAGTTTACACACACACACAACTGTAATCTGAAAACACTTAACAGAGTTTTACTAATTCTAACGCTAAACAGCTAGTCTTATATACTCGCATTTGGGTGAGGTGATATGTTGCAACAGTTTTGGATGAGGTGAACAAACTTTTGACCAACACAAGACAGAACACGGTGCAATGGGTTTAAATTGGATAAATGAGAGGGAAGACTGAAAGTAACTGCAAAGGGCTTATTGGCCCATACTTCCTCTTGATGCTTCTATATTGGTACGGAGTCTTGAAGTGGGTAGAGTATAGTTGTGCATTAATTGGCTGTTGATTGCTGGTGATGACTTTTTGATATATAGTGCCTCGCAGATGTCAAACCGCTTGCTATCGCTGAATCTATCGATACAGATAGATATATGCTAGGAGAGTGGGCAGTAAAGCAGGCGGCCTTGGAAGGGTTCAAAATTACGAGAGATGTGGTCAAGAGACACTTGTTGGATCTGGATGTTAGAAAAGCTGTTGGTCCAGACAGGATCTCACCATGGGTATTGAAAGAGTGTGCAGAGGCACTTTGCTTGCCACTCTCTATAGTGTATAGTAGGTCACTGGAGATGGGAGAACTACCAGAAATATGGAAGACGGCAAATGTGGTCCCAATATACAAAAAGGGTGACAGACAAGAGGCACTGAACTACAGGCCAGTGTCCTTAACTTGTATACCATGCAAGGTGATGGAGAAGATCGTGAGAAAAACCTAGTAACACATCTGGAGAGAAGGGACTTCGTGACAAATCACCAACATGGGTTCAGGGAGGGTAAATCTTGCCTTACAGGCTTAATAGAATTCTACGACCAGGTGACAAAGATTAAGCAAGAAAGAGAAGGCTGGGCGGACTGCATTTTCTTGGATTGTAGGAAAGCCTTTGACACATTACCGCATAAGAGGCTGGTACATAAGCTGGAGAGACAGCTGGAATAACTTGTAAGGTGCTCCAGTGGATAAGGGAGTACTTAAGCAATAGGAACAGAGAGTTACAATGAGGGTGAGACCTCAGATTTGTAGAGTTACCAGTGGAGTCCCACAGGGCTCTGTACTTGGTCCTATCCTGTTTCTGATATACGTAAATGAGCTTCCGAGAGTATAGACTCATTCCTCTCAATGTTTGCTGACGATGCCAAAATTATGATAAGGATTAAGACAGAGGAGGATTGCTCGAGGCTTCAAGAGGACCTAGACAAACTGAAGAAATGGTCGAACAAATGGTTGTTAAGAGTTTAACCCAAACAAATGTAATGTAATGAAGATGAGTGTAGGGAGCATGAGACCAGATACAAGGTATCATTTGGGAGAGGAAATTCTTCAAGAGTCAGAGAGAGAAAGACCTGGGGGTTGATATCACGCCAGACCTGTCTCCTGAAGCCCATATCAAGAGGATAACATCAGCAGCATATGCCAGGTTGGCCAACATAAAAACGGCATTTAGAAACTTGTGTAAGGAATCATTTAGAACTTTGTACACCACCTATGTCAGACCAATCCTGGAGTATGTAGCCCCAGCATAGAGTCCATATCTAGTCAAGCATAAGACTAAACTGGAAAAGGTTCAAAGGTTTGCCACCAGACTAGTTCCCGGGCTGAGAGGTATGAGCTACGATGAGAGACTACGGGAATTAAACCTCACGTCGCTGGAAGACACAAGAGTTAGGGAAGACATGATCACCACATACAAGATTCTCAAAGGAATTGATAGGGTAGATAGACAGGCTCTTTAACGCAAGGGACACACGCACTAGGGGACCCAGGTGGAAATTGAGTGCCCAAATGAGCCACTGAGATATTAGAAGGAACTTTTTTAGTGTCAGAGTGGTTGACAAATGGAATGCATTAGGATGTGATGTGTTGGAGGCTGACTCCATACACAGTTTTAAGTGTAGATATGATATGATAAAAGGAACCTTTACATTAGTTGATTGACAGTTGACAGGCGGGACCAAAGAGCCAGAGCTCAACCCCCGCAAGCACAAATAGGTAAATTTCAAATAAGTGCGTACACACACACACACACATCCCCAGGAAGCGGGCCCGTAACAGCTGTCTAACTCCCAGGTACCTATTTACTGCCAGGTAACAGGGGGGCATCAGGGTGAAAAAAACTCGGCCCATTTGTCTCTGCTGGCCCCGGGAATCGAACCCGGGCCACAGGATTACGAGTCCTGCTCGCTGTCCACTCAGCTACCAGACCCCAACTGGTGTGTGTGTGTGTGTGTGTGTGTGTGTGTGTGTGTGTATGTGTGTGTGTGTGTGTGTGTGTGTGTGTGTGTGTGTGTGTGTGTGTGTGTGTGTGTGTGTGCGCGCGCATGTACTCACCTAGTTGTGCTTGCGCGCGGGGGGGGGGGGGGTTGAGCTCTGTCTCTTTGGTCCCGAATCTCAACTGTCAATCAACTAGTGTTCAGATTGCTGAGCCTACTGGGCTCTATCATATCTACATTTGAAACTGTGTATGGAGTCAGCCTCCACTCAAAACTACTTAATGCATCCCATTTGTTAACTACTCTGACACTGAAAAATTTCATTCTAATGTCTCTGTGGCTCATCTGGGTACTAATTTGGGTACTAAGTTTCCACCTGTGTCCCCTTGTTCGTGTTCCACCCGTGCTAAAGAGTTTGTCTTTGTTCACCCTTTCAATTCCCCAGCGAATTTTGTAGGTGGTGATCATGTCTTCCCTTACATTTCTGGTTTCCAGGGATGTGAGGTTCAGCTCCTATAGACTTTCCTCGTAGTTCATACCTCTCAGTTCCGGGACAAGTCTGGTGGCATACCTCTGAATCTTCTCTAACTTTATCTTGTGTTTAACTAGGTATAGATTCCAG